TATATATATATGGTTATATGTTAATGTGTATGTGTGTATATATGAAGAAACGATATTTGAGATAATGTAAATAAAATGGACATAAATGATTGCTTTTATATTTTAACGAATAAGTAATAATGGTTTATTAAATAATAAATTTATCAATGTCCTTGATATACTTTTTAGAAATAAAAAAATATATATATCTAGTTGGTTAATAATAATTTTAGAATTTTTAATATAAAAATTAATTATTACTTTTATTCAGATATAAAATATTACAAAAGTTTTTCCAATAAATCAAATACTCGATAGGTGTTGTTTTATTTAAAAAAAAAAAAATAGAAATACTAGTTTTATTTATTTCAAAATAAACTAATAAAAATTCTAACACACCGCTTCGAGATATTGACCACAACCAAATGTATATATTCTTAAGTATATGAATTAGAATTTAAATAATATTAGAGAGGTTTAACATTTTTTATTTATTATTATAGGTCATGCAAAACTGGCAAGAGAGTAGGGTAAATGTAAATGTAGTTAACTATGAATATTGGTATGCCTTAGCGATAAGAGGTTCGAGGTAATAGCGTTAACGTGTGGAGACTTAATGTCGTGGAATGACAAGTATATACACATACATGAATATGTAAATGTATACATACATATATATATAAATAAACATATACACATACGTGTATTATGTAAAACAAAAAGAATTAGATGTAAAAGAGAAGAGAAAATCGAAATGGGGGTTTGGCAAGTAGTGCAAGTTACTTTTTTTTCCGAGGGTGTGGTTTCAGCCCGTGTATCAGAAAAGTCGAATAATCTGCGGAGTGTCTAACTTTAGCAAAGAACCTAGTTAGAAACGGCGAACCTTAAAAAATGAGGTTATCCCGAGGCACAGACACGAACCTGTTGTTGGGCGTGGAAGCTCTTATTTCATATCTTTACTTGGTCATCTTTGAAAAGGCTTTTCTTTTTCATTTGCTTTTTTCTTTTTTATTTGACTAATCACCTGGTAACATGTAGAACATTGATGCTTATATCGACGGGAATCAATAGATCTAACGTTAAATAAAATTAATTAATTAATGTTGTTTTAGCATTACTTTATTCGATCTAAAAATCATTACAATTGTAATTGAATGAATTTGTATCTTTCGTTCCTTGCTACAACTTGCACCAATGTGATTTGTTTTTATATTTTCTCCTAATTTGATTAAATTTAACATATACGCCCTTTTTTCTAAATTTAATTATTGTTTCATTTATTATATTAAAACCATTATTTCAAATTAGTATACGTAAACCTTGTCTTTAGGTTTACCATCAAAACTTTCTGATCCACGGGATAATAAATGATCTAAAAAAATGTTAACAGCCAAAAAAAAAAGAAACGTAAAGAACGTCCACATCTAACACGAATGCTTGAAGTTTTGGATTATGGATTGCGAGCTATGTATGCTAGACACAACGCTGAAGTTAGGATAGAAAACGTTGATGATGGATGGAAAAAGTAGGCAGCGCCATTGTTGAGGTGCAAGGGTTGCTTATGGTTGCCTCTTTCTTTCTCCCTCTCTCACTCTATCTTTCTTTCTAGTCATCGTGTATTATTAGAATCTCTGATGTGCCTTTATGTATACATATACACAAATACACATACACACACAAATGCATATTTAAACGTAGATGCTGTCCTGAAAATCAGGCTACCGTTCGTGGACTAGAAATCTAATTTCAACTATAGTTCGTGTGCAGCCGGTTCCGGTGCGCGCTATTTGGTAAACGATCGTTCTTTCGTGCTTTCTGTATAATCAAATGTCTTCTAGTGTCGAGTTTAGAAAACGGGTTAACGATATTATCGTTCACATTACTGAGAAACCCTTTTAAATTCTTTGAATTTTCCTATTGTAACATTTTCATCATCTGGTTCTGTTTTATTTTTTTTTAAATGTTCTTGTATTACATCTGCTTCTATTATTATTATTATTATTATTATTATTATTATTATTATTTTAGGCTGGTGCAAACCGCCCAAGGACATCGAAGCTCTTGAGGATTATAACGACGATGCACAAGCTGAAGAAAATGAAGATTATTCTCAAACCGAGGACGAGGATGAGAGTCCGGACACGATGGAGGAACCACCGCAAATTATATCACAACCAATAAGCAATACTGTTAGAGCTGGAACTACCGTTACTTTACCTTGTCTAACGGAAAATGCAGGTTTGTAAAAAATACAAAAATGAAGAATATGAAAATAAATAAAAACAAATATATCATTCAAATTTTATTCAGATTCCTTTGTGGTTATTTGGAAAAAGGATGACCAATTTCTTTACTACGGACCTAATCCTATGACAGAAGAACCTAAAAGAATACAAAGATTAGCGAATAACAGTTTGGTGATACATAACGCTACGATGACCGACTCATCTGACAATTATACATGCAGTATTACCAGCCGTATACCTGTTATGATCACGCACAGATTACACGTTGAACCATCTAACGATAGATCACCATCAATGATGATGACAACTATGACAACAACATCGATGATAACTACAACGACAACTGCACCACAAATGGTTTCTACGTCACCTTCGATACCATATATACACGTTATACCTTCGAACAAAATTGACGTGAAACAGGGTGAAACTGTCAAATTTTCTTGTATCCCATTCCCCAAGTCCCAATTTTTGCAAACGAAAATGAAATGGTATCTCAAGGTATGTCAAATTAAAAAAAATTCACTTTTATATTATTTAAACATTAAATTCATTCAACAAAAGAATCGTATTGAATTTAGATTAATTATGAATGTTTGAAAGTAATCAGAAAAGTATTAAACAATAAAATACATTCGTATAAAGGTTACAGGAAATTAAATATACTCGTTTCGTTTATGGTACAGTTGACTCATGCATATTCAAAAAGTTGAGCGAATACGTTAGTGAATTATTTTTTTAATGAACAATACCGTTTATGGTACGTTAGATCTTAATGGATTAAGGACATAAGTTATACTTTTATTTATTTGGATATGATAAATTAATTAACAATTAAAATATTACAAATATTTTGTAATATTATCTAAAAACTTGTTTTCTTCGCTATTTTATCAAAGGAATTATTATTAATATTATCATACATTTTCTGTTTCAGAATGAAAAATTACAAAACAGTAGTCATATAATGATGAATGGAAATGATATTACAATATTTAAAGTTAAAAGACACGATGCCGGAATGTATCAATGTTTGGCTGATAATGGAATGAAGAATCCACCTATGGCTGCCATTCATCTCATCGTTCAATGTTAGCAAAATTTTATACTTTTAAAATATATATAAATATATATATTTTACAATTGGAATACATTATAAAATAAAATGTTTTTTTTTTTTTAATGTAGACTCTCCAGAGATTGTAGTGGAACGTGACATTGTACACACGGGAGACGGCGTTGAGTCAGAAATCACGTGTATCGTTCACGCTCACCCACACGCGAACGTGACTTGGTCTAAAAATCAGAAAGAAATACCGAAGGGAGAAAACGGAAAGTTCTCGCAAGCGCAAAATAAATCAAAATACTATCTTAAGATTATGCGTACGAACGAACAGGATTTCGGTGACTACGTTTGCCATGCTAAGAACAAGTTTGGTCAAGCAAGCAGGACAATCACTTTAACTGGTAATTTGCTATTTATTTTCATTTTTTTTTTTTTTTTTGAGAAAAGAAATTGTATCAGTCATTAGAAGAATATACATATGTATATCAAAAATATTATGAATGTATTTTAAATTCTTTTTTTTTCCTTTTTATAGGAGCTCCATCGCAAGCAAGTATCTTCGAAGCGTTTGTGGCGGATGACAACAATGATCTTGTTTTAAAGTGGCGTCTCGAAAGCTACTCTCCAATTGCCCAATACAAAGTATGTTAAAAATATATATAAACAAATATATTTCTAAGAGAAATATGTAAAACTTGGAAGTAATTTTTTCAAATCGATTTTCTTTCATTTTCATCACTTTTTAAGTAACTTTTATGCGTGCAAATTGTAATTTATAAAATTCTTTGCAAATAATATTGAGAAAGATATGCATTTATGATAATTGTATTTGTATCATAATTATAGCTGAAATATCGTCGCAAAGGGGACGAACAATGGCAAGAAATTGAACCTCGTGTCAAAGATGGCGATGGAATTACATATATAGTAGAACATGTTATTGTTGGCCTTGATGCTGGAAATTACGAAGCAATCCTCGAAGCTAGAAATTCATTTGGTTGGTCACCCCCATCTAAACCTGTTTCTTTCAAAAAAGGTTTGTGTACTGATAGAAAATAATATACAATTGTTGTGTAATTAAAAAAAAAAAAAGAAAAAAAGAACAGGAAGTAAAGTAAAATTTTATTCTTTTTTTTTTTGTTTATAGAAAACGTTGAAAAAGCAGAAGCAGCAAGTGGTAAGTACAAATATTAATAATGTTATTCATAAATTTGGTAAATTAAAACAATGTCGCTAATCAAATTCACTATTTTGCAAATCAAGTTAATCTAAACGATTCTTCTTTAGATGTGAATTTCCGTTTATTCATTTAAAAAATTGTTTTAATTGATTTTAAAATGTACTCGAATTTAAAATGCCTAATTAATCAAAATTATAATCCAAACTAAACGGTTGAGCAAATTTAAAATCTACACGAGTATATATTTATTTTGAAATGAAACATTATCTTTAATATTGTTCATTTATTATTTAGTATTGTTTGATTTTGTAAATTTCTTTTTTAGTCGGTGGATCGGCAGTTTCGATCCGGCCATTTTGGGCTTTCCCAGTGTCACTCCTAGTCGTTTGTGCCTTCATAAAACTGTAATTAACGAAACTGTTTAAACTACGTAGGTAAGTAAGAAGAAATAAATCATCCAAATGTAATCATTTCATTAAAAAAAAAAAAAAATCCTTTTTAAATAATTGAATCATTTAAATTGCGTAGGTAATTTACTGCAGCCAAAGCTACACCAGAAAACGTCGTGGTGCGATTAATAATGTAAGGGATGCCTTGGGAGAAGCTTCATTATTCAAATACGCTTCCTGAAACATCCGTTGTCTTCGTCGAACAACACTCTATGCAGAAAAAAAAGAAAGCAAAAAAAAAAGAAAAAGCAAACCAGTATTTGCATTGATTTGAATGAATGAGAAATCTCCTCGGAATGAATTAAATTCTTACAAGTGATATTTTTCGAGTGTTGTATAAATTATTCTAACATTACAAAAAAAAAAACAGAACAAAAATGTAAAAAAAACAAAAACAAAATGGCAACGGAAGAAACATAACAATTCTCCTAGGCGTAAATCGTTAATTTGTTTTAACGATGGAAAAGCATTTTTATTTTACTCTGTCAAATCACGAGTAAATATTAAGAGTTTCTATACTTTAAAATATATTTATATATCTATATCTATATTTATATACATATATGTACATATATGTATACGTATGTATATACATATATGTATATACGTATGCATGTAGATATTATATAATAAATATAGTATTCACTGTACATGTGTAAGCCCAGAGATACACAATCATTATTATAATTTATTTTTGTATGCTTAAGATTATCAGAATATATCTGTGTTTATTAATGAGTGTTACTGCTTCGTGCCATGCGTATACAGGTATAATGAAATCCTGTATTTTGTAAACTTGTAAAGAAAAAAGAAGCGGCACTAATTAATTACTTTGCCTATATGGCAAGAATGAAGATAGAACAGGGCATGTACCTAATATATCATAGTAACAACAACAAAATAAACATACTTTATTATCGATAGACGGGATTATAAACATTTTCAAAAAATTAATGAAACTAATCATAATGATTGCCATAAGACTTCGTTTAAAATTGTCAATGATTATTTTCATGCATTAATATTATTATTATAATTATTATTATTATTATTATTATTTTTATTATTATCGATAAAAAGAAAGAAAATTGATTATTTTCATTCTCATTTTAAATGTGTATAATGCTATGTGTGAGTTAATTAAGTATGTTTCTGAAGAACGTAAGAATGTGATCGTGTTGTGCTAGAATTATTTTCCATATTAGGTTTGCTAGTAGCGATGTATCAATCTAGTTATTTTTTTTCTGACTTTCCAATTAGCGAATATAAACGATTTAAAAAACCTTACGAAAATTAAAACAAAAACAAAATTAATAAAATGAGAAAATATTATTGACTTTAAATGCATAAAGCAGATACAAACTTTTAATCTATTCTTTTGATTTTCGTTTATCTCAAATATCTCGTATATGCCTATTATTACATATAATTGAATCATTAAATATGAAATGTTGGATTTCAAATAAAAAATATTCGAAGTAATCAGACATTTTATATTTATTGACCTAATAAAAATATTAATACGTATATATATGTTAAAGTATGCGACACGATTTTTTCCTTATAGTTGACTGTAATTAATTTTTTTGTAAAAGTTGAGAACAATTTTAATGAAATCGAATATTAAAAAAAAAGAGCAAAGTTTGTCAAAAAAAGAAATGTAATGGTACATAGACTGGCTAATTAGTTGAACAAATTTGAAATATTTTAATTGTAATAATAACAGTTATACTATACGTAAAATAAAAGTTTCGCGCAGTACTTATTCTATCATATCGAACGTAGCACGTAACATTGAATGCGTATTAATTTTTTGGACAAAAATTCAAAATAAATCACAATTTTAGGACTCAATTGATACAAACAAATATTATTTATCTTTCAGAAGAATAAAATATTAAACAGATCATGTAGTATATTGAAATTTCTGTACATATTACAAAGTGGTGCTACTTATGGTTTTTTTCCGTATAATTTCGCAATACTATTGAATATCAATGAAGTTAACAACAACAAACGAACGAATAAAAAAAGTGTCAGAGAGAGAGAGAAAGAGTGAGAGAAAGGAAAAAATTAAATTTATATTTTTCGAAGTAAATAATATGCAAATTATAAATTGGATATATATTTATATATATCTTCATACACCACTCTACAGCTTGTATCGTTGCCTTATTCGATGTAACTTGTACAATCAATAACATGCATTAATCAATAGAATAATATAAAGTAAATTAAAGTAAATAAATAAATGCCTATACAAAAATAAAATAAAAACAAAACCGCAAATAAACATATTATGCAGTAATAATATAATAATACAATTATTTCTATTAATAATTATCCGCAAATCACAAATCCTGATAAAATGATCCTAGCATTTTAAAAAGCTTATAAATATGCATCATTCGTTGTTTAAAAAAAAATGTAAATCAATTAAAAATATTAATTATTTAAACTTACTTGTACTAAGAAGAAAGAGCTCCAATGTTCACTTATCGAAAATTAAAAGAAGACTGTTTCGATACACTGCAAACATTAATCGAATTAATCGGTCGTTCGATAATGACATCACGTGACAATTTCAAATTTATTGTTAAACTGTATTAAAAATATCAAATTCATATGATTTTATAATAAATGTACTTTACGGGTGTAATGTTTAAATAAATGTATTTTTGTTTTAACAGTTACGTGAACGTTAAAATTACATGTTTAATAAAATTACACATTTAATACATTAAATAATTCTACTATTATATTAAATACGAATATTACTTTCATAGTTAATATTATTTACATTTTCAAGATTAATAATAACAAAATATTTAATTAAAACATTTTATTTTTAAAAATTGTGTATTGTGTATTTAAAATTGACGTATTTTACGATATATTCAATGAAGTAACAATAATTTAATTACCTAGAGTTCCAAGATATTATTGTCGGTAATGTAGAGTTCTATAAAACTGCCGTAGTTAATCAACGATTTTACCTACTTTTGGTAATAAAAAAAATGTATCAAATTATATGTAAAACGATAGAGGGAGATGGTAGTCCATCTTATTTCGATTTTTCGATTCTAACTAATTCAAATCACTTGTTAAAATAAATAATTCGAAAACTCGAAAGACACACACACATACACAGACGTTTATCAATTAATTATAAATTTTGCGATAATTAACAAGTCTTAATGATTCCTTGATCGTGTAAAATCAAGAATCAATCGATGTCAGGTATCGACAAACTCAGTGGAATGGAAACGAGATTTCATCGAAATTGTATTATTCACATACTGTGCTACTGTCCGCCGAGTTGATTTACCAACGTTAACTCGCTTCCGTGTTAGTTCGCGTAATCTCGTATGTTTATCGTCACGTTTAGGTATGCCGCAATTTCCGTTTCTAGAAAAATCTTCAAGAATCATACTCGTTGTGTTCAGTCATCGATAAGAAGAAAAACGTTCTTCTGCATCATAAAAACTAAATCAAATCTTTACTCTATAAAAGTCTTTGAAAAATTCATGATCATTTTATTCTCGTCTTGTTTGCCATATAGACTAATTATTAAAATGATCGAAATTACGATTAATTAGGTCACCTGATTGATTATAATTCGTTAAATTTATCCTAGACTCTTTCGTATGAAATCTAATTCGAATAAAAAATTCATCAAGATTGAAGAAAAACAATAAAAACATTAAGATCGAATGATTTCGGCTATCTTCGGGTTTCCCGCTGGGGCTGATTAGCGGGGTCACGTGATTCAAGCTAGCCCGGATGTTTTTTTCTTCCTCTTTTTCTTTTTCTTCTTCTTCTTCTTCTTCTTCTTCTTATTCTTATTCTTATTCTTCTTATTCTTATTCTTCTTCACAGTACTTCGGTTAGTCGACTTGGGGTCGCTGCTGCAAAACGCGCCACCGTGCAAAAACGCGTGCACCGAACCGCACGGGCGTTTGCGCTTTCACACACATATACGTAAATACACACGTATATATCTGCGCATACCATGTACAAACAGAAGAAGGAAAAAGAAAAAGATGAAGAAGAAGAAGAAGCAGAGAAGAAGAAGAAGAAGAGGAAGAGGAAGAAGAAGAAGAAGAAGAAGAGGAGGAAGAGGAGGTAGTGCATGTAACTCAAATACATACAAACATACACCTACATCCATCCATTTATTATATATGTATATACTTTTTACTCATCGTACATAACACATACTTTCTCGTTTACGTACCACACATTCATCATTTATCTATCCATGCATGGGATACACCTACACATTCTCACACACACATATACACATACTTTTGTTTCTTAAATACACAATTACATACAAACTTAAATACATACATTTATCCATCCATCTATCCATAAATACAAACATCAACATATACTCACGCATACACATATACACAAATTATACATATAGAAACATATATAACTATACGCATATAAACACACATATACACACATTTCATATATATGTGTAAGAATCATATATCGTAGCATAAGAAGGGTAAAGAGAGAAATATGGACGATAAAGACATAGAGCAAAAGAGATGATGCTGTCGTCTCTCTTTTCTCGCATCCGCCAGCATCGTCTTCCTCTCGCACGACCTAAACGAGATGACTTAGCCGCGAGAGAGGACAGAGAACGACCGAGGGGGGAAGGGGGTGGTGGTGGTAGGGGGAAGAACCAAGAAGACGAGAGGATGCTGCTGCTGCTGCTGCTGCTACTTCTGCTGGTGATGGTAGTGGTAGGTACGGAATGGGATGGATGGGATGGGTTGAGGGATGGGGGAGGGGGTTAGAGGGAGAAGGAAGAAGACGACCCTCCGGCCGTCGCACCGCACAAAGAGATCCGCGCTTCGACTCTGCCATCTCTCTAAAACTCTCTCGATCCATACGTACGACGACCATTTTTTTTCTCTTCTTCTATTATTTTTCTTTTACAAAACTATAAGGACAAATCAGAAAAATTGTTTCGTTGCAAGAAAAGAAAATGGTGGTAGTTGTACGGTTCATCCGTTATGGAGAAAAGAAGAGAATGGTTATTTCGATAGTTTTTTGTTTTTTAATTACATTTAGGCATATATATTGTAATATGGTATAACATATATGTGAGTCATAGATAATGTAGATCATTATAAGATAATAAGGGTTGATTGTATTTACCTGTTTCAGGGCAAATTTATAAAAATGTTTCTTTCATAATTTATTATAACATTTAGGCATATCTAATAAAATTAGCATGTTTAATAATGATATTGTTATATATATATTTTTGATAATAACGCTTGTTCCATCAAAATGGCAGTTTCGTGTATTTTATTGGCCATGTTTATTACTTGCAAATATTCAATT